TTGTCCTAGTTGCTTTTACTTCAAAAGACAGTTGAGAACAGTTTTGTTCCAGAGTAAGAATTCTGCTCACTGTACACTCGGTATCTCTGATCTCCAATATAGTTTGTCTGAAATATTGAAAGTAATATTTCTATATTTGAATATCAAGTCCCCAGTGTTAATATTATCATCACAATTAATTTATTAATATATTGCAGTATTTTATTTTAATATTTTATTAATATATGATGGTAATGTCCCAATATTATATCATCTAGGCTGTGATTTTTCTCCAAATTACTTAATATATCAATATTTTAATATAAGTGTTGTTATTTTTATTATTATTATAATTACAACCATGAATATGAATTCATGTTTTATAATAATAAATTATATGTGACCCTGGACCACAAAACCAGTCTTAAGTGTCAATTTTTCGAAATTGAGATTTATACATCATATGAAAGCTGCATAAATAAGCGTTCCATTGATGTATGGTTTGTTAGGATAGGACAATATTTGGCCGAAATACAACTATTTGAAAATCTGGAATCTGAGGGTGCAAAAAAAAAATCAAAATATTGAGAAAATCACCTTTAAAGTTGTCCAAATGAAGTTCTTCGCAATGCATATTACTAATCAGAAATTAAGTTTTAATATATTTACAGTAGGGAATTTACAAAATCTCTTCATGGAACATGATCTTTACTTAATATCCTAATGATTTTTGCCATAAAAGACAAATCAATAATTTTGACCCATACAATGTATTTTTGGCTATTGCTACAAATATACCCCAGCGACTTAAGACTGGATTTGTGCTCCAGGGTCACATATTACAATTCAGTATTTTAAAATAAAATATTGTTTCATTAATAATAATTTCCTAGTACTTTAATATGTAATTAATTTAATAGCAACACACCTTAAATAGCAAAACAGCAAAACTCTTAAATGTTCAAAAACATTTCGGTGATATATAAAAAGATCTGTAAGGACAAGTGCTTTTTAAATTCTTTTCTCATGCCCATGCTTTCTCATGACCATTCACTCTAGTTTTTTTGCTAGTTAGTGGCTTTATACAGTGGGGCAAAAAAGTATTTAGTCAGCCACCAATTGTGCAAGTTCTCCCACTTAAAAAGATGAGAGAGGCCTGTAATTTTCATCACAGGTATACCTCAACTATGAGAGACAAAATGAGAAAAAAAAATCCAGAAAATCACATTGTAGGATTTTTGACATGAAATTCTCACCAGATGTCGGGAACAATCCAAGTAATCCATACATACAAAGAAAACAATACAAATAGGTTCAGAAATTAAGTTCTGTGTAATAAAATTGAATGACCCAGGAAAAAAGTATTGAACACGCTTACTGAAATTTGGTAATGCCTTTGTTGATAATGACAGCTTCAAGACACCTCCTGTATGGAGAAACTAGTCGCATACATTGCTCAGGTGTGATTTTGGCCCATTCTTCCACACAAACAGTCTTCAAATCTTGAAGGTCTTGAAGGCCTCTTCTATGAACTCTGATCTGTTGTTCTTTCCATAGATTTTCTATTGGATTCAAGTCAGGTGATTGGCTGGGCCATTCTAGCAGCTTTACTTTCTTTCTCTGAAACCGAATGAGAGTTTCCTTGGCTGTGTGTTTGGGATCATTGTCTTGCTGAATGTCCACCCTTGTTTCATCTTCATCATCCTGGTAGATGGCAGCAGATTTTTATCAAGAATGTCTCGGTACATTTTTCCATTTATCCTTCCTTCAATTCTATGAATTTTGCCAGTGCCACATCATGATGTTTTGGGGTGATGTGCAGTGCCATTTGACCTCCAAACATGGTGTGTATTATGGCATCCAAAGAGTACAATTTGTGTCTCATCTGACCAGACTATATTCTCCCAGTATTTCACAGGCTTGTCTAGATGTTGTACAGCAAACTTTAATCGAGCTTCAACATGTTTTTTCTTCAGCAATAGAGCCTTGCGTGGTGAGCCTGCATACAGGCTACGGCGGTTGAGTGCATTACTTTTTGTACTTATTATTTTCTTTGAAACAGTTGTACCTGCTAATTCCAGGTCTTTCTGAAGATCTCCACAAGTGGTCCTTGGCTCTTAGAAAACTCTTCTGATAAGTTTTTTCACTGCTCTGTCAGAAATCTTGCAAGGAGCACCTGGTCGTGGCTGGTTTATGGTGAAATTATGTTCTTTCCACTTCCGGAGTATGGCCCCAACAGTGCTCACTGGAACATTCAGAAGTATAGAAATCCTTCTGTAAACAATGCCATCAGTATGTTTTGCAACAATAAGGTTGCAAAGGTCTTGAGAGAGCTCTTTGCTTTTACCCATCATGAAATGTTTCTTGTGTGACACGTTGGTCATGAGACACCTTTTTATAGGCCATCAGTTGGGACTGAACCAACTAATATTAATTTCCACTGACAAGGGGCAGGATTGCTTTCTAATTACTAATAGATTTCTGCTGGTGTCTTGGCTTTCAATGCTTTTTTTCACCTCCCTTTCTTCATGTGTTTCTTCATAAGTTCTTTATTACACAGAACTTAATTTCTGAACTTATTTGTTTTGCTTTCTTTGTATGTATGGATTACTTGGATTGTTACGACATCTGGTGAAAATTTCATGTCAACAGCACCTTTAGAAATGTATTTACTGAGAAAAATGGTGATGTGTTCAATACTTATTTTACCCGCTGTATGTAAAGCAGTTTCTTGACTTCAATAAATTCTAATGAGGTCTGTATATACAGGGTGTTCTATAAGGTGAAGAGTCGCAGCGCTCACATGAAGAGTCACGCCGAGCAGGAGAAGAAGGCAGCAGCACAGCGAAGAGAAGAGGAGGAGCGGGCCGCTAAGGCAAGGCAGGAGATGCTGGAGGCAGCAAGGAGGAAAGCGGCACAAAGAGGAGGGCAAGAAGAGAGTAGTGGAGCTGAGGAAAGCTCAGTAGAGCTGGATGATGAGCAGGATGTGGACTGGGATTGAGCAAGTACAAGACTCTTTTAGTACTCTTCTTTAGTACCAGTTGGTACCAAAAATGTGCAACTAGTGCATCCCAGTTAAGGGCAGTTGGGATGTTTGAAAAGATAAAGGTGTCTGAAATGCCTTTTTTTTTTTTTTACCAAAATTTTATAAGAACTTTCCTTTGGTATGTATTTTTTTAAAAGTGCAGATGTATGTCAGTTTAGCATCATAAATGTGATGCTTACGAAACAATGATACAGTAAATATGATAACATGTAAAAAGGTTTGCAGAGCTGATTTTGATCAAAATACCTGAACAAATCTTGTTTGCATTCAGCGAGACTGTATTTTTTTTTACATGTTTATGTAATATGCATACAGTAATATGTAATCAAGAGCACAAACTAAAATTCCCCCTTCAATTAAATATTTCTTGTGCATGAAATGTATATAATGCTTCGAAATATATATGTTGACCTCTGTGTATTATACTGTGTGCAATATTGATGCAGTTGTGTGTGTGTTTTTCAGTACTTTAAACTTCAACGAATGTGTATTTATGTTTTGAATGCACTTAAAGGGAAGTGGAATATGTGGGATTAAGGGATTTTTATAAAAACTCACATGTAAATAAAATCTGAAGTTTAGCAAATCACAAATACATTTGTTGACTGTTGTGACCATGCTTGATATTTGCTATATTTCATAAATGTCTGCACAATAAAAACAAACTTCCAGTATAAACTTGTATAATTTTACTTTATATAATAAATATAAAAGGAAAAAGTTCAGTTATCACCATCACATTCAGCACTGGAAGAAGTCTTTGTTTAATAGACATTTGTGATTGTAGTGTTCTTAGTTTAAATGTATTTTGGGCTTGCTGATCGCTAGTTAGTTTTGGCAAATCTCTTCAAATTAAGGTTAAGATCATTATCATTAGTAGCAGAAGGCTCAAAGACACCTTGATTCTTCCACTGCTCCCACCTGCCAAAAAGAACAGTTAATGTCATTAATTGGGTATTACATTTTCTTAAAATTCTAGCAGGTAGAAAAAGCTAAATGGGTAAAATAATCTTTTAGACTGATGGGAGAGGCCATTTTTGAATGAAAGCCTTCTGAGAGTCAATTCAAATGCTTACCAGCATCAAAGTTATCCACTAGCATGTCTTTGGTGTCACTGAGACTTCCATTGTTTGCTTCTGGAACTACACCCAACAGCTTACACATCAATGGATAGATGCTGACACTCAAATGGCTCAGCCAAGAAATTGTCCCGAAAGTCTGGCCCAAAGGCTCGAAAGATCATTTTCATATCCATTTCCTCATTACTGAATCCATGATCTCCTTTGTTGATATGCAAAATGACCCTCTGCACAAACAGCAAACAAAAAGTTAGAGTAGAAGACAAACTGTTTAATAAATTCACCCTCTTCCAGTACTTTACATGTAGCTTTAAGCAATATTTACTATTTACACTACTATTTTTTAAAGAAATTAATGCTTTTTATTCATCATGGACACATTAAATTGGTCAAAAGTGACAGCAAAGACATTTATAATGTTCCAAAAGATTTATATTCAAATAAATGCTGTTAATATGAACTTTCAAATCATCTTTGAATCCTGAAAAAAAAATTGTATCAGGGTTTCTGCAAAAAAATATTAGACCGCACAACTGTTTTCAACATTGATAATAGAAATGTTTCTTGAGAACCAAATCAGAATGATTTGATTGAAGGATCATGTGACACTGAAGACTGGAGTAACAATGCTAAAAAAAATCAGTTTTGCATCCCAGGAATACATTACATTTTAAAATATGTTTTAATAGAAAACAGTTCATTTAAACTGAAATAATGTTTCACCCACAATATTACTGTTTTTACTGTTTCCAAATCTCACTAATCTCAAATTTAAGACATATTTATTGATATTTTACTGATACGGACTGTAAACTGGCTAAATAATGTGAAGCTAGTATGACATAATTAGCATGTTTGACTACAATATTTTATTATTTGAGCTTTCAAACAACTGGCTAAAATGAGGGATATTTATTTTCAAAGAGACTTACAGAGTTGATATTGAAGCCCAGGTCAGCCAGAAGGACGATGGGTTGAATTCTCTCATGTTTGCGTATGTGAAAGTGTTCTGGTATCTCTTCTTGCTTATAGACTGTCAGATTGGGATGTGCGTTCTTCAGGGAATCATAAACTTCCTGTCCTTTGCCCTCCCTAGGTGTAATCATCCCAAACCCACCGTAGTCAAGCAGGTCAAAGCGGGCTAGATTGAATAAACTCATGTAATTGCGAAGTTTTATCTCATTAACCTCACTGGCCATTTTAACAGTGGTCATGCCATGGTCTGAGCTCAGGATGACGTTAAGATGATCAGTCAAACCATTTTTGTGAATTGCCTCCCTGAGGTAGCCAATAATGCGGTCGATCTGTTCAATGATCTTTATTCTCTCTGGGGTTTTGGGGCCGAAAGTGTGACCCACGTTGTCTGGTGCTTCAGACCCTTTGAAATATATTGGAGACATTATTGGAGAAGAGCAGTATTAATTTGTTAATTAATTTACAATGAGGAATGCTTTTACTGGACATATTTACATACACTGTAAGGAACATATGTGAAATTTATGGTAAAAAACAACAACAACAGTAACAACAACAGCTGTGGTTGTCAGAACATTACAATAATTTTTTTTTTTGTGATTTAACTAACATTTTCATTAAAAAAAACATATATTTGATTAACTGAATAATGATAATATACAGTACCAACCTACTGAAGTACTAAAAATCTGTTTTGTACCTTTATAATACAATGATAACCAGCAAAACACGGGGTAAAGAGAAAACCACATGACAAATCAAGTTAATCACAAGTAGCTTTTCCACAAGCTGAGCTAAATACTATATATAATTGTATATATACAGTTATATATATATAGTATAAACAATAAAATAATGCAATAAATATTAATTTAACAACATAAGATATAACATAAAACACTAATGTACATAACTCATAAGAAAAGAAAGAAAGTAAAAGTTATTTCAATGAAAAGCCACCAAATGTGAAGTGTCATACAAGGAATTCTGGGAATGTCAGTAAGTTCACCTGATTCTGGGCTGTTATCCACAGGGGCAAAGCACCATTATCCCACCATTCTGATCTTTTCAGTGTTGCCTTGTGTGGAACTCTCAGGCCAGTTTTATCATTAAACATCAGGTTATGGACAACACCGTGATCCTCTATCCATCTCACTGAAGAAAAGATTAAGATACAGTCATACTGATATATAATAAGTATACATTTAACATTGAAAATTGGATTCAGTTAGATCAACCAATATGTTTCTGTGGTCAAATAGTGTATTTCAATAAACTAAAATGACTTGTTATGGCAGCGTGCATGTAAACCCACATTTCGTAATACTCTTATACATGACTCGATACACTGTAAATTGGCCACTGAGCAAGGTTTATGAACAAGGAACACTGATTATGCAAATAACCTTTAAACTGGAGTTTGTGCTAATTTTGCACGTCATTTAATGAGGCTGAGGTAATTGGCCCAGTAAGTGTGTGCTCAGCAGCTCTCAGAAGACAGCTTAAGACTTTGAACATCATGATATTGCAGACTGGACAAGAATATGTACATTAACACAGAGTAAACTATGGTGAAGCAGGTGCATGAATTTATGCACTTTTGTTTCAAAATGATATTAAACAATACAATTTTATTAAAATGTATACAATACATTATAATATTATAATATATAATTATATTCTTTACTAAGTTATATTTTTTATTTAAAATGTATTAAATGTGTCATTTACACATTTTATTCATTAAATTATTATTAAAGTTCAGTATTATTAAAATATCATAAATTAATTAAATTATTTGACATTTGAGTTGTTTCTTTCAGTGTCTATTTTTTAACTGATGTAAAACATGCAGTGATACTCAGTCTAACCAGACCAAATCATATGAGAACCACTGATTTAAATGTTATAATATTCAGTACGCATTACAAAATTATAGCTACCAACTGAGTACTTGGATGAATTAGGCATTTGAACATGTGTTAGAGCTTCTGTTTTGTTCTTTTTTTTGTCTGTAAGTGTGTATTCTGACTACACATAAGCCAATAAATAAGCAGAAAGTCGAGCCTTACCAGTAATAGTTGTAAAGTGTGATGGAGATGTCATGGTGATCGCTGGGGGATTTATGTATTTTGCCTTGACTCCTTCTTTAACTAGTTTGTCCAGATTTGGTGTGTTGGCATCTTGGTCATAATCCCACCTGAAACCATCAAAGGAGATCAGCAGCAACTTATTATACGTCCTGCTTTTGGACAGGGGTTTACTGCTCACACAGAGAGACAAGGCCAACACCAGCAGAAGTTCTGACTTCATCTTGAGACGCTGTTAAGCAGAGTGAAAATCGGCAGAAGCTGATCTTGGTTTTATAAGCATTATCAGGGCACTGATAAGACAATCTATTTTCTGTAGTTCTCAGTCAGTTTATTGCCAAACCAGTTAGCCTACATTTCCAGTGTGATTAAATTATACATTCTAAAACAAATCTGAAATGCACTGTATTGAAAAGTGGAAAACTTTTATTATTACCATCCACACACAAGTCAGTTCCCTTTTTAGTTTTCATTTTTGACCCACATGGGCCATGAGAGGGTTTATCTTGAGAGATACGGATAGAGCTGATAAACTGTATGGATACTATGTTTAGAGCTCTGATATATTATTGATCATCAGTTTATATTATCTTTATATGCACACAAGATCTATTGAATTAAAATCATTCTTAAATATATCGTGGCTTGCAATTGTTCGGTTCCATAATTATAATGAAAATGCACAACATAGAATTAAGGGACTTTTACTGTAGAAACACTAACCGGAAACAGGAAGTGTACAGTTTTCGAGTTCACACTGCTCTCAGGGCAGGGTCCCTGACAGATGATGTGATATTCAGAAAAAAAGCTTTTATTTTTACCAAATACAAGTTAAAGCGTTAGAGAAGGCATTTTCGTCGCTCACTTGGATAAACTTAAGGTAAGATTCGACTAACGTCGCAGTTTATTAGCTTCCCGAGAAGGCCACAGTGCTGTTTACTGTGTCAGCTGACCTTTCATAAAACAATCTGTTACTATAACAATAAAGACATGTTCATCTATATACAAAACCGATTTAAATAATCGTCGAACCACGAAAAAAATCACGAACTCTGCATTTAAGAAAAGTATTAACGTTACTCTGCAACTGACGGTATTCTTCTAACGTATTATTCTGATGTATGTCATATTAATTAATAATTATCATATTCATACACTGTGGTATTTACATGGGATCACCCTGGTAGATTCTAGTACAGTTCTGTGAATGAAGGGCAAATGTACCTTTAAGTCTACATGAATAAAATTGAATGAATTTGATCTTTTAATTTTAATAAACACCTTTGTTTGCGTGAATGCTTCAGCCAAATTTGTAATGTCTTATTGTGTCTTGTATACTTGATTATTGTTGTAAACTGACAGATGACAGATGAAGTATCTGCTAAAATCTGAATTTTTTGTATACAAAATAATTCACTTTTGAATGACTTGGACAGCGTCAACGAGCAGAAGGCCCTTTCAGCTTACATTTGTTTAGTGAAAACAAATGCAATGAGCCAATTGTGCTTTTAATTTCAGGATTAAACATGACTGCCATCAAGCACGCCCTTCAGAGGGATATTTTCACCCCCAATGACGAGCGTCTGCTGAGCATCGTCAATGTCTGCAAGGCAGGGAAAAAGAAAAAGAACTGTTTCCTGTGTGCCACAGGTAGAGCAGAGACACCGATCCATGACAGAGAATGTCCATAAACACTCTTTTATTGTTTATTTGACCTCTGTCAGTTCTGTTTATCTTCTTTAGTGACTACAGAGCGCCCAGTGCAGGTGAAGGTGGTGAAAGTGAAGAAGTCAGATAAAGGAGATTTCTATAAGAGACAGATGGCATGGGAACTACGGGACCTGACAGAGGTTGATGCCAAAGATGCCAATAAGGTCAGAGGTCATATGTGAAAGATTCAATTCAGACATTAAATAAAGCTCAGTAATAAAATAACTATTACTAAATATTATGGATACATAATATTACCTGTTTCAGATTGCTTATCGGATGATATCGGATACAGTGTTATTTTAGTATTATTTATATAGGCCTACGCCTACTATAAAAGTAATAGTACTTCAGCTTATTTTATTTCAGTTTCTAATTTTCATTTTTTTATGTTTAAGTTTTTCATCTAATATTTATACTAGATATAATAACTTTATTTTATTTAACAAAGACATTTTTATTTTAGTTTAGTTTCCAATAATTACACCAGATGGATTTCATTTAAATGTTAGATTACCTTTTCCATCACTGAAGGCTCACTTAAAATTAATCTTTAAAAACACTAATAATTTAATAACTATTAAAACTGTTCAATTTAATCTTTCGCAAATCTCAAATAAACCATACTGTGCATAAATAATGTTGTTATACCTAAATTCACTTATAGCACTTAAAGTGATTGAATTTACTTTTTATTGTTTTGTATTTAAATTATTGAAACATACTTATGGAACATATTTATGGAAATTGGGGTAACATGAAAATAATTATTGACCTGGAATCGACCTGAATTTACTGAGCAAATCTTGGACTTCTCCATCCTTCAGGAGAACCCAGAGTTTGACCTTCATTTTGAGAAGGTTTATCGGTGGGTGGCGAGCAGCACTGCAGAGAAGAATTCGTTCATCTCGTGTATCTGGAAGCTGAACCAGCGCTACCTTCGGAAGAAAGTGGAGTTTGTAAATGTCAGTCCACAGCTGCTGGAAGGTGTGGCTCACTACTGCTCCCGGTGTTGTGGAAGTGTAATAGCATGTTGTTAAACTACCTGTGGAATTCTAATATGTAAGGAAAAGAGTCTGAAAGCTTGAATGTAGAACTATTACATTTGCAGTGGTAGGAACTCAAACTAGTTTCTGTTTTCCTGTGGCTAGTGCTCTCTCTCTGTCTTTTTCTGAGCTCTTTGGGATTCTGCAATGTGTCTTTTTGAGTGTCCTTTAATGCTTTAGTTTAACCTGATCTCTGCTGTTCTCTCTAAATCTCTCACTGGCCAGAGCTTCCTAAAGCGGAAGGTTTGTACGCTGTTTTTTTTCTTCCATCTTTCATCCTTCTCCATTTCCCTATTCCAGTTTCCACCTTCTGCTATTGTTTCCCCCTCATTAATTGTCTTTCTTTCTTCACATTAATTCATTTTGCTTAGTCACATAGTTATCTGGGAACATTTACCCACTGCTCACTCTCTAGATTGTGTTTGTGTACATGTGTTACTTACATTGCATTTATGGAGTAGTTTAGTTAATATACTCATATGCTCACACTCACTACCATTCAAAAGTTTGGCTATGTTTTATGAAGTCTCTTATGCTCAACAAGGCTGCATTTATTTAATCAAAAATACAGTAAAAACAATATTGT